GCTAACAGCCCAATAAAATACACGAGTCGCCTTTCGTGGGACGAAGTAGGAAAACGTGCGTTGCATATTGCTACTTGCTACTTGCTTGTAATTTATTTGAAACACTGTAGGATGGCTGATTGTGACCAATGCAGAAGGCCGTCAGATGAACGTTTCAAATTAATAGTTAGGTCAAACGTTAAGTAGGCAAAGAAAAGAGAAACTTCATTTATTTATTACAAATATGAATCACATGTCGGAATGTATGTCATTAATCAACATATTGTTAAACATACAGTGGCAAATTGTAATTGAAACATGAAGTATGGTTTACAGTTGCCGATGTTGCAGCTAATCATTGCCAAGATAACAATGGGCAAGATGGTGAGGCTGTGTGACTAGAGGGACATGATTTCAATGCAGTATTTTCGCCTCGGCTGTGAGAAAATAAAAAAAGAACTCTTTTCAACTGGAAACATCCAGTAAAGAAAATCTGAAAGGACTGGCAGTATCACTGACATAGTAACATTCGTAAGGAATGGAATTACTTGAGAAACAGTGAGCAGATTGGGGCAATAAAGTGACTCTGGTAGGCATTACTTTTCAGATTGAAAATTTCAGTCACTATCTTCGACTCACTCTCACCCTATGCATGTTCTGATAAGAAAAATTTTAACGAGTTGGATTCTTTTAGTTTTTGGAGTTTTAAAAAAGAAGATGTTAAGAATTTCTTACCAAACGTTAACATTTTACTTTTCATGTATACTAAAGTGGAAAGGAACTGAACTCAAGTGAGCGCAGTTTTTCTTTCAGTCTCTCTCGCTATAAAAGTGAAAGATTTTCTGATTGGGTCCCACATGCTTATACTGTTTTATCTAAATTTGGACTAATAATTTAAATTGCACTTAAAATGTTCCCTCCATTATCTTATTTTATATTAAGCATATTTTTTCTAGAAGAGACAAATATGTTTAGTATAAAAAGAAAAAATTCATGATGGATGGATTGTTTGAGTGACTGATTTTCCTATTATCTTTCTACTGCTCGAAAATCAAGTCAAAATTTTGTTTTTACTGTGTAAGGATTCTTGTTAACTGTACATATAGTTATTTAATTAATTATGTAATATAAAAGTTCACGAATAAACTGCTACATGAAAATACATTTAGACTAACATGGAAGCATTATGTATCTTCTGTCTACCCGAAAAGTGAGAAAATGCAAAACGTAATTCTATAAAAGTACTTAATGTTTTTAGTTAACTATATCATGAATAAAATGAATTTTTATTTAACTGAATCAGATTAGAAAGTAAAAGTATATCATTCTTAAGAACTAAAACCAAATGTTTAAAATAGAGTAATTTGTTAATAAATAACAGACAAATTAAATTTGAAAGATAATTAGCTTATATTTTGCCGAATGGAAATGGTCTCTAATGAAAAGCAAATCGTGTTTCGAGACAAATAGCCTTCTTGGACTTAAAAAACAAAGTCTTTCAAGAAGCGTTTTCTTGTCAGGACATTACTTCTGAAAACACTTTCTGTTATCATAGCTGCTAATTTGATATCATTCTCCTACATTCTATGTTCATGTTTACAGGTTGAGGTTAAACTTAACACCAAAGTGCCAGAGTAATCAATCTGTGAATTCATTCAGTTATAAGACTGCAGTTTTTGAGTTTAATTACTTATAATTATTTAGAATACAATTAAGCAGATTAATAAATTGAAGACGAGTTTGATCAGGTTATATTAAGTCTTTGATCTACAAAGATATAAAAGATAGTGTTGCCTAAATCTGGAGAAAATACATCGAGGATTCTTTGTTATCGTTACAAGACTTGATGCAGTAAGATCTCTGTTCTGTGAAAGGTAAAACAAGATCTTAAAAACTAAGTGACATTTTCCAGGTTTTAAACGAATAGCCTTTCTAACGGAGTTATTAGCCTCGAGCATTCGCTAGTAGAGGAATCATGCCACAGCCGAATTACCACGATCCAAATCGACGTGATAGCTTCCTCTAGGGAGACATTAAGACACTGATATACCATTTCAATCCATCAATTATGAGGGAACTGAAAATTGCTATCACAAATGAGATCATAAATGTGTTTACCGGTAGATGATAAGTAACTACGAAGACTTAGTTTGGAAATGAGTCAAAATGATGCGAATAGTATGACTACTAAGACCTATCTTTTCCTTCATATTTCTTAAAAGGAAAGAAGCATTGACAAATAAATATCCAAAACAACAGCCAGCCATCTAAAAAATCTATTGAAATTGACAGACACGTAGAGGTATGCAATAAATAATATAAGAATCTGTACTCTCAACTTTAATTCTCAACTTTTAAATTTTTGATAATTTTTCTAATGAGCGTTTTAATGTGAAAATGTGATACTCTGTTACATAAAATATATTATAAATAAAAAATAAAATGATATGTAATAAAAAATTTTAAATGTCAAGTGCAGCAAGTTCGAAATTAATGCATTCAGATTCGTTCTTATCAGCAATGAGAAGCTTTTAAAGCTGGAAATTGTCGTGAGCGGATTCTTATATTATTTACTGCATATCGCTTGTCAATTTTAGAAAATTTTTAAATGTTCAATATTTTTCGTATTTATTCATCAATGCTTCCTTACATTTTGTTTTTAATACGCGTATTAAATTCGGTTCTAAACCAGTACAAGGTGAAATATTACACTTAAATAATGTACAATAGCACAGTATTTTGTGCACGAAATTTGGTGATCAAATGATTTGGAAATAGACAATATGTTCACTGTATATTAAGAAAGACAGTAATTATATCTTAAGTAGTATAATCAAACTACATAAATGGAAATAAATTAAAGATGTAGTATATAAACGTTTGATAGTTTTTATAATTAGCATAAGTGGGAAAACTTAATACTCTTGTAGAGACATTGGGTATTTTTTTTAAAAGCAGGAGAGATGAAAAATTAGCAACGCCGCTGACCTCTGAAATACGCGCCAGCGTGCAGACTACCACACCACGAAGGCACGCTAAGAAGGCGGGAGAAATACCTTATACTCTGTTAGACAAAATTAATCATGAGGCAAAACTAAAATGCTATTTAATATAAAATTAAAAATGTGAAGTGAAACAAATCCAAATTAATGCATTGAGATTCATTTTTATCAGCGGTGGAACGCTTTTAAAGTTGGAAACTATCATGTACAGGTTCTTATACTATTTAGTGAATATCGCTAGAGATGTGACAATTTGAGCACATTTTCAAATGGTTGTTATTTTGCATGTTTCTTCAGCAATATTAATTTTTTTTCGAAAACTATCTTTTGTGTAACTTACGTCATTCATGAATATGTGTTTTAGAAATCATAGTCTGTTTGTTGTACTGGTAACCAGAATCCACGGTCTGTCCTCGGAAATTTTTAATATTTCATTATTCATCTTTGAGTGCGTAATTACTTATTTTATGATGTACGTAACATGTAATCTAAGGTGCACTGCTATTCTTTGAAATATCCACTCAACCCGCCTACTGTACCGTTTTTGAAAAAGTCTAAAAGTAAGTTAGTGGACGTTTATAATTTGATAAAAGCGATCAAAGAAATAGAGAGATTTTATTGGCCCCTTAGAAAAGAGAAATGAAGTATTTCTGTTTTACTTAAAGCAAAAATCAGATATGAATTCTATTTTCTAGATAAAGAAAATTTTGCAGGTAATGTGTTCTTTTCCAATATCCTTTCTTTTTAATAAGATCATCATAAATACGAATTTGTTACGGATTTAGAAAATGAGTCGTACAGAAATATGGCTTTCGTTTTGGCCCGTTGCTACTACTCGCAAGATAAACAAGTATTAATTTTTGTCTTTTCATGAAAGCTAATATCTTGATGGTGTCTCTCGTTTTCTCTTAATAAAAATATTTTCCTGTGGGAAAATGTTAGGAGCAAAGGTTTATTGTAGATAGCCTCTGTATGCTGTCAGAATCAAACGAAGATTAACACGTTCCAGCTTCATTTATCTTGCTTATACCTTCATCACAGATTATACAGAATTCTTTATGAGTATATTAGAAAAGTATGTGAAGCTTAATGTAAAGGTTTAATCAGTTTAAAGAAGATTAATACCTTATATTGCAGTGTATGAAAAGTAAATAAAAATGGCTGTGTAGTATTCCTATTAATAAAACTATATATATTTAATACAACTGTCTCAGAATTTCTGTAGTATATTTTAAGTTTATAGTTAATATTCTTTAAGAGGCTTATATATAGAAAGCAGCTAAATGGAGGTCAATGTTTATCAACTTTAATGAATTCTTTCATTACGAATTATTGTATGCTAGATTATGGACTTTAAAGGATAAAGGACGTTTTGTGGAAACTTATTATATACTTGTCAATCTAATTTATCTAAGTTACAGGAGGGATTCATTTGTGGGATTTTTATTATCAGTATTGACATCACTAGTTTTACATATTTTATATTATTTTTGCGTTATCACTGCGTGAATTTGATTTTAATATTTTAATGTTAGATCCCCAAGAAAATTTACAGGTGAATCGATACAATCTAAAATCGGAACTGCTAATTCTTAGTCATGTAATTACTTAGATTGATTGCGTTTGTGGTAACATAGTTTATAGTCGACACAATTCTTTATATATACAAGCGGCTAAAGTGTGTGTCGCCGATAGTTTATTGGTGCCACTCGGAAAAATGAGCGCGGAAATTAACGTTTCCGCAGTTTTTAATTAATAGTCAACCGATTAAGTCGTACAAAGATGAGAACGTATCGATGGCTTCGGAGAATTTTTTGGAATCCAGGATGCGCGTTCCGAATTTCAACTCGGCGCTGTTCCGTAGATATTCGAGAAAAAAGAATTTGGCACGTAGCCAAATCCCTCCAATAGGGAAAACCCAAGAAAGAAAGTGCAAAATTTAGGGAAAACGTAGGGGAAAATTAGCTTATAATTAATATCTCGGCTAATTAAATTCCCACGAAGACGCAAATGGTCAAAATGGCGTGCCACGGACCTGCGGAATCCAACGATGTGCTTCAGTAAGCCCGGGAGCCAGCCGTTTCGGAGGAGATGATGTTTCTTCACCCCATATATATAGGCGGCTTAAGTGTCTGCTTGTCGCCGAAAGTTTATTGCTTGCTTGCGTAACTGTACTAGCCAATGGGGTGAACTGCCACGGTACAGGGTTGCCGTTTCAATTGAGAAGTAGACAATTTCCTGTAAAACTTGCCTTTGCTATAACCATCAATAAGTCTCAGTGCCAAACGCTTAAGCGTGTTGGCATTTTTTTATCTGAGCCTGCATTTGGACCGCGTCACTTTTATCGCTGCTCAATAGTTCTTGAAAGAACGGACATAAAATTAAAATTAATTGATGGTCCTCTGCAAGGCGAGCTTAAAAATGATGGAAAGATCTACGCAAGAATTGTTTTGCACAAAGAGACCTTTGACTTGTGAATTAACATTTTATTATTTAAATCACCTTTATTTATTGAGCTAGCGGTGGCTCTTAAGAAATATACCGCCAGTGAGTTCCTTCATTGCACTCTACTTTAAGCAATTAAGCAAGTAGAAGGGGGAAACTCCGTGGGGCAGTAAGCAAAGAGTCCTCTCCGCCTGCCCAAAGTAAGTAAAACGTCTGCCCAAAGTAAGCAAAAAGTCCTCTCCGCCTGCCCTGGTTAATTCAATTTGAATTAGACACCTTTGCACAACCATTTTAATTACAATTTATAATATCTAGAACAGCGGTCATTTCTTATGACCGCCGGGGTTTCTAGTATCATATAACAGCATTACGCGCACGTTTATTTTTAATACGATATAATGTTTTTTGCATCATCTCTGTCCTGGCCGTTTAGACTATGCCGTTTTTTAGATTTGTTATATATGTTTTTTTAACTTTACCGGTATATTTCAATTTATTTATTATGTAAAACGTCAGTTAAATACCAGAGCAGTCGGCTATCTCTAGCTCATATGACTCAAGTTAAAAAAGCCACTAAAGAAGACTAGAAAAAGATTACTTTTCGAAATGCAGTATGTCTGTCACTAGAAAATGCCTTTCTGAATATAAACAAACTTTAAATATTTAAGTTAGTGTACTTAATAACTAATATAGAAAAATAAAAATTTAAGGATATCTAAGGCTCATTGTATGTTTCTACATAACCGGCCTTACTACAAGTATAAATATAAATTTCATCGTTAAATATTGGGGCAATGGACGTAAAACATGTTTTAAATTAAACCCTAAATGGCTTAAACTGGTATAAATCTTTTAATTTAACGGGGTAATGTAACTAGATATCCGTTGCAATGAGAGAAGATTGTCTTATATTAAAGTTTACTTTTCCTATTCATGATATAACTCAAATTTCTTCCTCTGAAACTTTTAATTCCTCACATTTTTCATTTCGCAAAATACTATGTAAAACTAAAAAAAGTTAAAAACATGATTTATTTAAAAATTTACTAGTTATTTTACTTAGCCTCTTTGTTAAAACCAAGTATATTGGGAAAATGCAAATATTATTAACTCGGTTAAAATTGGTGTTCCTGAGATGCAAGAAGCGATATATAATGGGAGAGAGAGGATGGTAACTATCAGATCAATGGTTTCAATCAAATTGGTCTGATGGTTACCAGAGTTATTCTTCTCTCCCATTATATCATTATATTCTTTATATTTAATCGAATTTACTAGTTGTTTTACTTAGCCGGTTTGTTAAAACTAAGTATATTGGGAAAATGTAAATATTATTAACTCAGTTAATAGTGTTCTTGAGATGCAAGAAGCGATATATGTATAATGGTAGAGAGGAATAACTCTGGAAATCATCAGATCAATTCTGTCAAAATACTGCCCCAGTAGGCTGTTTTGTGTTTTTCACTGCATGTTGAATTTTGTAATAAAGTAAAATATTATACAAAGAGTATAACTTTCGGATTATTTGTATTATATTTATAGAATTTAAAATATTAGAATTTTCATATTTTTTATCTTTAAAAATTTAAAATAATAAAAGTCTGTTCAAAACAAAAGTTTTTTTTATGAAAACTGCATTTTATAAAGCTCCTATAGGCATTTGTTTCATTAAATACTAATCCCAAACGTATATTTCCGCCTTGCATAAATTTTTAAAACAGATACACTTTTGAAAAAGCAGTTTTAGTATTAGAAATGAGAACAATCCTTAAAAAATATCATTGTGGGTAATATCCGTTGAGAAAATATTCCAATCACCGCATATTAGTTATGCTTAAATTAAATTTAAAAAATGTTTCATACGCTCATGTCAAAAATTAACGAAGATATGTTTAGTATTTGGTTTTAAGTAACCAGTCACAAATTTTATAATGAGTGCAGCTTTACATAAGCTGAAAGCCATGAAGCGAGCAAATTATATCTTGCATATGTTCCCTGAATTTTTTCTCATGTGTCTTAAATGATATATTGGCAGTACCAATAAAAACTATCTTGGCTTTTATTTATAATAGCAACAGAAAAATGCTATTATTTCTACCAACTCAGGAAATTTATTCTTGAGCATCTTTAGGAATACCGTACTTAAGCATATATCTTTACGCGCCATTTGTGTTTCTGTTCTAACTTACTAGAGTCATAAAGAGTATTTTACTGATTTAAATTTTTTACCTCAAACGTGCAAGCAAGATATAGATTTTATTTTTACAAAATCCCATCATACACAATTTTGGCACTGTTTTCTTAATATTAACCACATCATTTTAAATAACTTTGCAACTGAACATAAATATAAAAATTAATAATCAAGAAAATATTCGAAAAGCCACTTGTTTTCGAAAATGAGCCATTAATTACTAAAACCTTCAGGCTCTGTTTTGTACTTGCTACTTAAATTACCTAAACATATCATACATGGCCTTTTAATGTACATTAATGGGCAGTAAGTTGGAAAATTTCTTTTTGAATGTTTTTGATAAAGATATAAAATATGTTATATTTAAATTATTATCATGTGTAGAATATATTAATAAATGGAAATTTCATTTTACAGAGAGAAGGTAAAATGCAAGACAGATTTTGCATTTATAGAATTTTCAGAGATAAGCATTGATTAAGATTTTCATAGAGCCAGTTTTAAATTTAATAACAAGTGTTAATTTTACTCAAAACGAAGCCTTTAGTTATTAAAACATCCAGTCTCTGTTTTGTACTCGCTTCTTAGCCTCTTAATATATATTAATGGTAAGTAAGCTGGCAAATTTATTTTTTAATGTTTCTGAATAAAGATATAAAATATCTTATATTCAAATTATAAAATGTAGAACATATTAATAAATGGAAATTAATTTAAGGATCCTCAACTTTACGGAGACAAGGTAAAATGCTAGATAGAATTTGTATTTTTAAAAACATCCTTCAACCAGGCTTGAATTCTACAGTGTATATTGTAAAACGTTGAAATTAGATTACATGACTACGAGCAATAGTTTTAGGGAAAAACAAATTGCACTCACTTTGTACGAATTATTCGTATAACGTAACAATATAAGAAAAAATGGCATTCTAAGTAAAACTGACTACGAATAAAATAGAGTTATTGCGCGTTTTCCTAATTTAGAAAAAAATGTCACCAAACAGCGTTATATCTTGCATTTTACCTTCTCTCTGTAAAATGAAATTTCCATTTATTAATATATTCTACACATTATAATAATTTAAATATAACATATTTTATCTCTTTATTAAAAACACTCAAAAAGAAATTTTCCAACTTACTGCACATTAATATACGTACGTTTTGTTGTATTCCCACTGAAATTCGTGGTGTATTGAATAAAGAGGAGAAACTACGTTTCTGTTCTGAGAAAAGGGATTTATTAAAAGGCTTGAAAAAAATTTCCAGTTCACCTTTATTAAATTTAAGTAGCTAAATATTTCCATCAGTGTGTGTGTATGAGTATGAGTAGTTTTTATTTTATTTTTTCAACTTTGTTTTTTTACATTTTTTGCAAGATTACCATATCTCGTTTCTTCTATATTATTTTCCAAACTGCATTTTCATTTGCTCAATAGTAGATTCACAATTACGTCAAATGTCACATCTGACCTTTGAATCTTAAATATGGTAAAATATATCCAGGGAAAAGGATCTGAAAATGAGATAATTTCAGAACTTTGTTAATAACTCACAGTATCCATTCTGCGGCAATGCATATGATTGTTGTTGGACACACGAATGCCATTCGTAATTAAAATTTCAACTGTTGTAAGCCACAGGGGTTTGCAATTCGATTCTATTCACGGAATATGAATAATGAGAAATCCAATCTGTAACTGCTCAAATCGATAAATAATAGAACGCGGTTGTGGAACGGCTGAACACTGTATCCATAATTATAAGCCAAATAATAGAGACATCATTCCTTAACTAGAATTTTGGTAAAATTATAAAATATTTAACTAGATCATAAGTGCAGTATTCCTACTCTACTGCAAGATCATTATTTATAATTAGTTTCTTGTGTTTTTCTCAAGTAACTCCCAAGACTACAACACTTAATATTTTAGTTCCTTATTAGGATGTCAACTCAAAGAAGAATGTATTAATTTCTCTTAAAACCCTTTTCTCTGCAATTATGTCGGAAGGTTAATAGAATAAAATGCGATTTTAAGTCAAAAGTTCTTAAAAGGATGCTGGATTATTTTTAGAGCAACGTATACACGTATTGTTTCATTATACAAATATTACTGCAATAAAATCTCTATAAGAGAATATAAAAGTTGTATAAAAACTTGCGCTGCTATAATATCCTTAAATTTGTGCAATTTTTGACTCTAAGCAAAAGTTAAAAACAGTTTTAAATGTGTTCAGATGCACTAAGTCTTACATTTCTAGTAACGTTATAAAGTATTTTATATTAATTAACAAATCTTTTATAATTTGGATCTGTATGTTACTTCACCTTTATGTTGAGCCTCACTAGGATGGCAATAAATAAGTTAAGAGTGTTTAAAAGGAGGATTTTGAATGTTTTAGGTATAAAGCTTCAAATATATCTCAGGGGCGCTTACAGATTTATTGTCGATCAGCTTTGCTAGTAAATATTCCTACAATAGTCATTTGCTAGTCGAAGATAAATTGCACCATTTAAAGTTTGAGCCAGCTTAGTTAGGCTACATTTGTGTAGTCTCGTGTTACGATTCCTTTCTGAGTTTTTAATTCGACTTTATTTTAACATCCGCAAGTGGCGGAGTTTGATTGTACCCATAAGTTGTGTCTTCTGCTCAATTCAAGCTTAAATAAAAATGTTATTTAAACATTAATAAGATTGCGTCGTACATATTTCAGACAAAGTGATAATTCACTTTGCAGTCTAATAGGATTTGAAAGACTAAAAGTCAATATTTCACAATTATAGGACACTATAACGTCTCCATAACCACATTGCATATTGTGAAATCTATACGTATAAGCTGAAGAATGTATGTATCAAAAAAGTACTAAAATACATAATACGTCTACATAGTTATCGGACGAAGTTCGTGTAAAATCAAAAGTTGAAAAAAAAAAAAAAACAAAGTTCTCACCTTTTAGCCTTCAATACTCAGTCCTTACAAAGTGTGGGTCGTTCAACAGCTGCTTGATTCTTGTGTAGAACTCATCTTTTGGAATACTGTTCAAGTCTTGAATCTCTTTAGTGCTGTTAAAATAATGACCTTCGAGGTAAGACGTCAATTTAGGAAAGAAAAAATAAACTACAGCTTACACATACGGTGATTACATAGCATAGCTGTGAATTTTTACAATTTTCTTTGTTAGAAACTGCTTGATGAGAATGGAATTGTGTTACAACGCACTGACGTGCAGTACAAACCAGTTATTTGATCGAGTCTTTTCAGGCCTAAATGCACTGCAATCTGTACAGAATCTGTCCATTGTATCTTTATAAAACATGGAATTCACCGTCTACACCTCAGGATTAAATTCCTTGTGAATAATCATCTTTTAATCTAAAAATACCCCATGTCATCATAAGACCCGCTGGACAAAAATGTTTCTAGGATGTGAGCTCTGCGGAGGAGACCACATAGCCTTCTATACAGTTTGCCCAAAGTACCCTAAAAATGTAAAAAGATAAGAAAGAATCTCAGACCCTCCACCAAAAAAAGGGATAAACATTATCCAGATTTAAGTAGAGTTTCTATAGCTAAATCTAAAGAGCCAATTAGTGGTGAACAAGCCTTAGCCAATGACATGGTGTCACAGGGTGTCACATGACATGTGGTGTCACATGACATGGTGTCACATGGTGTCATGTGGTGTCACATGACATGGTGTCACATGGTGTTTACGAACTGGATTAAAAATGTTCTAATAAAAATTTAATCACTCGTTTAGAGATTCGAGCTACAGAATTCTCTAATGGGGAAAATAAAAGTAACCATAGAAGACCTTGACTTTTTGACCGAACACACTTGTTAAATGTAATCAGTTACAATTGTTAACTTCAAAAATTATATATTTTTATATTTAACTGTGCTTTATTTTTATATTCTTCATGATGAAGGACCATTCCCTGAACAGTTTATCTTACAAATATTGTCCTTTTTTCTGCAGTGTATAAAGTGAATAGTCTATATCAGGGGTTCTCAACCGGTGGTACGCGGTTCTCAACCGGTAGTACGTACCACTGGTGGTACGCAAGAGAAAAATAGGTGGTACGCAAAGAAGCAAAGTATTTTTAACTATAAAATTCAAAAATTAAAACCTCAGCATCCTAAATGAGTTTTTTCTCTAACACTCGTAAATTTATGTGATCTGAGCTTTGTTCAAGGGTGGTGGTGATAGTAGTACTTTGTAGTGGTGGCACTAAAGGTTTTCAATTTTTGTTTATATGGTACGTGACAGTCAAAAGGTTGAGAACCGCTGGTCTATATGCCATTTCAAAATAGTATTATTATTATAAATGCGTACCATTTCATTTTCCTTAACTCAACAGGAAGAAATTTTGCAGGCGCACATCAGTTGGCGTCACACATTCCACAGACCAACTCACTAAATTTCTTTGTTGACTACATCGGCGACATTTTTTGTGATTTCTATCATAAATAACAACGCTTCAGGGCAAGAGTTTCAAACGCATGGGTAAATATTATTTTTGTAACAAGCCCACTGCAGCTTGCGTTCAGAATTCAGAAATTGATATTCATTGGTCAATCGCGTTCTTTTCTGAGATTTATTTATTTTCAACTGCGAATAACACTGTTCATATATAAATGTACTTTCAAACAAAGCGATTATTACTATTATAAAAATTCGTAGCTGAAGGTATCTTTTGAGTACTGGTAAAAAGTTATCAAATCTGGATCTGCAAATCCTTGAATAAGATTTATGTCACAATTCTAACTTCATTAGCTCCATCTGTGGGTTTTCTGGTGCGTTATTTACGTTCGTTTTAATGATAATGAAATGAATGTAAATTTGGATTCCGATGCATTGCAAGTAATGCATCTTTCTTCAAATTCTTGTTGTAATAATTCTAATTTTCGTGGATGTTTTTGAGATTTTTCATTTAAAATAATAGCGTAAGATATAAGATGTAGGAAATGAGCAAAATATGATTGAACTAATGTTTCACGTAACTGCAGTTTAACTGTAAAAGGTTTAATACAGCCACATATATGTCAATTATATATTATTAATATTCTCTATTTATAGCTAATAATAATAATTATTCATATTCTCTATTTATAGCTTTTTATTGAAAATCTTAAATGCCTCTTTAAGTCAACAAGAAATGCTAAATCCATGTACTATTATGGAACTCATTATGGTTTTATTTACTTATTAATTTTATATCTTTTGAATTTACTTATTAAATTAAAAAACAGTTTTAATAAAGCTCCTCGACATAACTATCTCAGTATAATAAATAATTTCTCTATGGGTCACTTTCGGTGTCTTCAACGAATGCAAAACACTTCGTGACTCAGAGCTTGTCTGTGGATAAAGTTTAAAGTTTCAGTTATTACCTCAGTTGCAGGGTTCACCTTAGTTTTACTAACCAATTATTTTTATTACTATCTTATATGAATTCTCTATTTCCCCTTGCATTTCCTCGCCAGGATGCTAATGAAGTAGGTGAATGAGAGTATTCATGCGTGTGAAACGAGAAGGTTAGACAGAACGTGATTTTGCTAGCATAGCGCAACTTTGCTAGTTTGTCCTCCAGCTATTAATCTTAGTTGCAGGTAAGATTGTTGGCATATCGCCAGTGTAGATTGCTGAGTCAGCCTATTAGATTAAATTAAATTGTGTAACCTCGCACTACTTCTTAACTTTTGAATATATTGTTAAATTATTTTTAAGTTCTCACCGCAAGACGTCGATGCTGTTAACCGCAGGTCCGTGCTTAGGACGTCGATGCTGTTAACCGCAAGTCCGTGCTTAGGACTTTTTACACGTTTTCCCTGGTGTGTTGATCTTCCCACCTGGACGAGAAGTCGCCAGGTTGGACACTAAGATCCAATCACATTGCATGATAGCTAAGAAGTCCAGATCTTACACAATAACCTTATTCAGTTTGCAAACATTTGGCAACGTATTTACAACAAATGCATAACTAAAATGCTTCCGCCAGCCGCATAAAATTGCTTCGGATACCGCATGTAACCTTCCAGTGAGAGATCACTCTTCTAATCAATATTAATTTCCAAAATGAGTCATTTTCATTAAAACGAATCAAACCGTGAGTCATCTTAAGAAAATGAGTTACCGCAAATGGTATTTATCCCTCATTAGTTTAGATGAATGAGGCTATTCTACATTCTTAGAACGCGTTTCGTAATTCCAACAAATAAAAGCATAAAGCATAGTGAAACAAAAAAAAATTTACCGTTTATTTGAAATTAAAGTGAGACTTATAATTTTCATTAGAAAAAAATCTAAAATCTTCTAACTGAATGCTTAGCTGATGCAACGAAAGTTACAAATCATTAGTAAAGAAAAGGCTGAGTTCTGTAACTGGAGATAAAACAAATACTTACTTCCTCTATTCTCTCTTCAGTTTATATATCCTTCTTTATATTTTGTATTTTTTTCTTGTGTTATGTAACATGTTTAAACTTCTTCTTTTTATCATTTCTTTCTCTTTTATAGGCTGTCGGCGGAGGGCGGCGGTCGGCGGAACACTTGGAGGATCGTTACCATGGCAACAAGATTGCTAGTCGCCACGGTAGGCTGCTTGTTCTCTTAATATTCCATATTTTCATTTTTTCTGGACCTTGCCTCGCAAACAAAACTGTTGCGTTTTCCCTAAAAGAACTAAGATGTTATCGAGATGTGTGCTTGGACGAATACAAGAATTTTGTTTTTGGCTCTTCATATATTTTCTTTTGCCACTTTACCACGATGCGTTTTTGAAGCAAGCGTATAAAGTCTTAAAATAGAAACTGCATGATGGTTCTATGTAAATATTGTACTTTATTTGTTGTAGTAAACATTTATTGCTTAAAAAGAGTTCCTACTAGAAGTGGTGAAATTCTATGGGTTTTTCTGCCCATGGTTATTCCATGGATTATTGTGTATTTTTCTGGCACGTTAGCACGCTCAGCAAATGAAAGTTTTTTAACAGGCATTAAGTTTACGACGCTAAAAGACCGAAAAATTCTACTGAATACCTGGAAGGAAGTTGTTTTTCATTATTTATTTTTTCCTTCTTAACAGGTTCAATGTGCTTGCATCAAGCCAATTTTCAGAATATTTTTCCAGAAACTAGTTTCACGCATGCTCAAGAATACATGAGAAGAATGTCTTAATTTTTCATTTTTCCAAGCCTCAAGGCTATTAGTGCGAGGACAGACGGCCCCCAAATAACTGATTAAGTCTGGTTGCGGACAATGTTCAACAACGTAGTTTGGGTGTCAGATGTGCAGAAGAGATCTGTTTGAGAGAATACTAAAATTAAAGAATATATAAAGAATAAAATCGGAGCATTTAAATAACCAACTCAAAGTACAGCGATGACAACGCAAGAAAATGTGGGAGGAATGTCATAATTAAAAATAACTCTTGACTACTCACACCTGTGTGAACAAAATCAGAATATCTTCGTTGTAAGGAACTTTGGTAGATCAGTCTGGATCTGGTTATAGATTATACCCTAAACTGTAGGACGTGAAATATTGAGAATGGAAGAGTTGCTAGTAAGCACTATAGAACACATAGATTGATCCTAACCGTAATCTTTCAATAATCGACTCGAACCGTAAAATCACAAGAACACATGTAAGGAATGTTTTAGCTTTTGCATTTCGTAATGATTCAACAAAAACTAGTTATTCAATTTTTTTCTGCACAGCATCAGAATGACTCCTAGTGAAATACCGACTCTATATGCGTTGTGATTGTTTATAATTGTTCGCTTTGTTTTGGACCCCAGATATAGAAAGGACAAATAACTTCAAGAGTAGGAACTCTAGAAAATATGAGCATTAACTTTAAAATCTTTAAACAAATGACAGATTCAGTGTGCTACTAATGGCTACGTAAAAGTGTGACAATTTCTTAAACCCGTAGTTATTTAACAAACCTTGGCTACTGAAAACTTTCTGCTCGAAACAAAAATGTTTCTTTGGAAAGTCCGAGCCTTTTTTAACTTAGCTAATATGTTGGACTTTGCTACTGTAAATTATATATCACTCAAGATGCTGATTAAAGAATGAAAGTCAAAGGACATAAACTTCAACGGTAATTTTACTTGAGATCTGCAATTGTAATATATATATGAACTAAATGAAACTTCACAGATTCGCTACAAATTCAAGCATAAATAAAGAATTTCCCTAGGATTCACTTAATAGTGTTTGATATATTTCAAACCTAGTACTAATTACATTAAAACTCTCTCATCAGCTTTGTTTTACTCTGTTTAACTTACCGTAACACGTACAAGGGAAGCGTTTGAGAGTACACTTGTGGCAACGATTGAATTTCAATTAAAAGTTGCCATATTAACGAAAAGCTTAGAACAGCAAATAGTTTCATATTTGACTTCCAAAATTTTTAGCCTGTAAGTATTATAAAATGGATTATAAAATGGAGAACATATTTCTAAATACTAATAAAGTTATAAAATGGAGAACATATGTCACATTCGAAAGTGGTGACCCGGACGTGATACTTTGAAGGCAACAGCAAGATGAAAAGCAATTAGCAACACTAATGATCGCTGGTTATTGAAACAAGTATGAGACTTTATACCTAAATTTATTCATAGATTAGTTCTGCATATCAGATAGTGAATGACAAATGCAAACCAGTTGCAATGAAACTTGTCAGCAGTAAAACATCTATTAAATGGTTTGTTTTTACATTCATTCACATTTGCTCAGTTAAATCTAAAATACACAGTTATATTCCATATTTTTGAAGGGTACTGAATTAAAAAATATAACAAAATTTAAAACAAGAAACGGGTAGTCGAAAAACAAAAAAAAAAAAAAAGATTGTGATGACCTATATATGTTCTTACATTTTCTTACATTTGTTCTTACATTTTTATATACTATCCACTTTTAAAGCATTTTTTAAGGTTTTAGAGCAGCTTTGGAGCCTTTTAGGGCATTTTGAAGTATATGAGTAATCAAACAGAAAAATAAAGTTACTCTTGAAACAACAGTGTCTTAAATAATTGTTACAAGGCAGACATGTATTGTCCATAAAAACTGATTATATAATCTGTTAGTCCTATCTATCATAACGGGCGTTTTCCATAATATTCGAACACCGCTTCTAAATCGCCGGAAATCGAACCGCGGACCTCTGGAATACCGGCCCAGTGTGCAGACCACTACACCACGAAGGCTCGCCAAGAAGGTGGGAGAATATACCTTATAACTGTTTGGGTTTCAAAACTATGGGAAAAATATCCCTCGTATTGACAAGAGACACAACCGTTTTTGCAATTGAAGAAAAGTAACGAAAAGGGATGCAATTTATTATTATTATTTTTTTTTTTAGTATGCTCCAACAACTCCAGTAGATGTCTGGAAAAGCTGCTAACAATACTAACACTTATATACCGATAGACAATAGAAGATCTTTCATATTCGAAAGCATGCAAAAGACATAATAATTCAGTGCCATTGTAATACATTTTGTGTGAGGTTCAAAATTCGGAAGAAAAAATGTAATTCAAGCAACAAGTACGTGAAATTGTTTAGTTTTAACCCGTTTGTCAGTAATTGCCAAATTGTGTCATTTTTTATATTATTTTTTACTTTGGTGAGAACCGTTCTTTATTTTAAGTGCATATGTTCCATTTTATGTGCATTTCCTAGCCGTTTTTAAGGCGTTTTAAGTAAATTTTTAGGTTATCAAAATCCGGGGCCTGCTCATGAGTAATGTCAGATGTACTGAAAAGATCATCCCTTTAATACATTTTTAACTGAAGATACTCGGATTAAATGGGACCAAAGCTTCTTTGGATATCAAAATTAACTAACCTGAAGACCAAAGACCCACTTATTACAGTTCATGTGGGGGGAATCTTATTTATTTGCTCGAGGATCTGTATTCAAATAAAGATTATGCTGCTATAAAATACTTTCATTTCAAAGAAAAAAATAAAACGCAATTTTTTGGATAAAACTAAACAATAAACGCGAAATGACTTTTTTCCTTAAGCGCATAGTATATTATCAACCTAATTTAAATAAAAATCTTACGTAGGCTCGGAAACTAAATAACTAACTTTTGTACTTTTATTATAAAAAAATAAACAAAGAAAGCATTTTTTGCTAGCTTGAAACGAAATATGTAATCTTTTTCCTTTGCAACTAAAATTGAAAACGCATTTTTCATTGACGTAAGGAATAAAATAATAAGTATAATATTATTGCGTACGTACAGATTCGTAATAGTTTGAATGCACACAAAATCAATGATAGCGTGATAAAATTTTTTTTCCCAAAAAAGAAAAAAATTACAGTTATGGAACTTTCCACGAAAGTACTTGTACAGCTCTTATCACAGAGTACAATTAGTAGTTCTCGTCAAATTTGGCGACAAAAATTAATCGCCAAAACCATTACCAAATTGACGATATCTCGTCAAATTTGGCGATTGATGATATTTTGAGTAGAGCTTCGTCTTTTTAAAGCATTTCATGTTCCATTATGCAAAAAAATACTACAATTTCACATGCAATTTTACTAAAATTATTTACGCATGTATAAAATTCAAAAAGATAGTATGTAAATGTTTTTGAGAAATATATTCTGCAATAATTTTATATCATTTAAGTTAATGGAAACAAAAAATTATGAATAAAATAACCAAATGGTTTAACTTTATTCGGCTAAGAAGAACAGCAAATAATTTGAGTGATGAAGTTTTGGTCAGCAGAACTTAGAATACTGACAGTTTTGCTGTATTATTAAGTAAATTAAGAGCTAAGTTACAAATCTTAAAATTTATCTAAAAAGACAAATTTCATAGTGTAGAACTACCATGAAGTTATTTTACACTCTTTTGTTCATGTAAAGCTGCTTTATAATAATAGCGATTGTAAATCTTTATGTACTAACTGAAGTCCCATAACTTCAAGAAGTCAGAATTAACCCCGTTCTTCTTTTTTGTTACATTACGAAAAGCTGCATCATTTTAAGCTCAGCTGATTCTCGAAAACAATTCCAAGTAAAATCCGATTTTAGAAAATCTGTTAAGGATATAAAACGGAAAAGATAAGCCTTAGATTGGCAGATAATTTATTTAGTTTTCTGTCGATATCTAGAGGGATATATGTCGTTGTTATTCACACAGCAAAAATTCTGAATGTCTTTGCTTCTGGGAAGAGGAAAATACATACGTTGTTTACTAAATAAAAGAATTCAGCGGTTAATCAGAAAAAATTAATTATTTATAGTTTGAAAACTACAACTATTGACGATTTTCTGAAAATGAAGCTTAAGAACAATATTCCGTCTTTTAGGATAAAGCAGTTGATAAGAATCTTCATTACTAATGCTACACTTGCAAAATGTGCCAACCAGCTGCGAAAGACTAATAAAAGAAATGAATAAGCCAATTAATAAAAGAACTGTATTAAGACTGAATGTACTTAACTAATAACTATATTAAAAAGTGTTAAGAAGAACTATATTATAAGGTCAAGTCCAAGACTTTAACTTCTAATGAAACTATATCATTTTCTCAGTAAACATAAACAATTTC